CCTTCCTTCCTTCCTTCCTTCCTTCCTTCCTTCCTTCCTTCCTTCCTTCCTTCCCTTTCTTTCGCCCCAGCTGGCCTTGAAATCACGGACACTATCACCCTCTGCTGAGATTAAAGGTGTGCACTGCCACAAAGGCCAAACTCTATTGACCGTTGCCAGTATTAGGATCAAACCTCCTGATACAAGAAAGGAAGCCAATTCTGAGTTTGATTAATGAATGGAAGTGGGGGCTATAAGTAGACACTTCAAAACATTATTTTAGGCTTTAAATTTTTGTTTACATTGTGAGTGTGTGTGCTTGTTAAAACATGCATGTATATGTCAAGGTGTGCATGTGTAGACCAAAGGACAGCTACAGGGAATTGGTTCTCTCCTTCTACCATGTGGTTACAGGCACTCAGTTTAGATGGCTAGGCCTGGCAGCAAGCCACTTTAGCTGGCTGAGCCATCCTACTGATCTATTCCAGGCTTTCCCCCAAACCCCCTTTTGGAGACAGGGTTTCTCTATGTATCCTTGGCTTTCCTGGAACTCACAGATGAACCACCACTCCCTCATCACCCACAGACAGACACAGGGTTATCTCAAACTGTTACAATACTGCTCCTATAAAAAATAATAATTGCTACGATCTCACCTCAGTGTTTTTTTTTTTAAATTCCTTCTTAGTCATCCTTTACAAATCTCCAGAGTCAAATGTTCTAGCATTCCCTGCACCCATCAGATAGTGACAGAAATCCATGACTATCTAAGGACTCAGCAACTGCCTTTTAATCCAAATATTTTTTCAACAATTGTAAACAAGTGCTTAACTCCTGGCTCCACAAAGAATGCCTACAAGTCAGTATAAACTCTGAAATGGGGGAGAGTTGGTCAAAGGAATAGAAATTCAGCCTAAACTCTCAACCTCATCCTATCCTCACCTTATTCAAAAGAATCCAATCAGAAAGCACTTCCAAGCAAAAGAAACTGATACGACAGCTTTAGAAGCACAGAGGAACTGCTAAAACCAGGAACCACCTAATCACTAAATGAATGCTATGGAGAGGAGACATTAAGGGAAAACAGGGAGACTTGTAATTTTATCTTAATTTGCTTTAGGAAAGATCTGTCTCTGCCAGGAAGTGGTGGTGCACGCCTTTAATCCCAGTACTCAGGAGGTAGAGGCAGGAGGATCTCTGTGAGTTTGAGGCCAACCTAGTCTATATAGTGATTCCAGGACAGCCAAGACTCTGTTACACAGAGAAACTCTGTATCAAAACAAAACAAAAAGGAAGGAAGGACGAACCTGTCTCAAAAGAAACAATAGTCCTAAAACTGAGCCATAGAAGAATTCTCTGTAGACCTAAATTCCCTGGTTAATTCTTCCAGTTTGGTCCAAAATCATCCTATAATACTCAAACGACACTTATAAGAATAGCCTTATTCTTCTGCACTTTAGAAAACCTCATCATATATGTTATAAACCATTATAAAGGCTGGGCTGGGCATTGTGGTACATGTCTTTAACCTCAACACTAAGACAAAAGAAGGCAGATCTGTGAGTTCCAGACCAGCTAAAACTATGTAGTGAGACCATGTCTCAAAGGAAAAGAAAAAGAAAAAAGAGAAAAGGAAACAATAAAAGGAAAAGAATCATTATATTGTCTTTAACTCTTCATATATATATATATATACATATATATGTACATATATATATACACATATATATAACACACAGATATGCACAGATATACATACTAAAATATTATAAACTTTATTTCAAATTGTATGTATGTGGAGGCCATCTGGGAAGGTCAGTCACAAGACAACTCTATGGGATCAGCTCTTTCTTTTCATGGATGCCAGGGATCAAACTCAGGACATTAACTTGACTAATAATCCCTCTATCTACTGAGCCATCGTCCTTTCTTTTTAAAATAAATTTACTTATAATCAGCATTCCACCTGCATGTGTGCCTGTGCACCAGAAGAGGGCACCATATTTCACTATAGGTGGTTATGAGCTACCATGTGTTTGCTGGGAATTGAACTCAAGACCTTTGGAAGAACAGCCAGTGTTCTTAACCTCAGAGCCATTTCTCCAGCCCCTGCTGAGCCATCTTGCCACATATAAACTCTTTTTAAAAAAATAAAAGCAAAAAGTTGAGCCATGTGTAATGGCAGAAACCAGTACTTCGGAGGCAAAAGCAGGCTGATCTCTGTGAGTTCACAGGCAGCCTAGTCTACAAAAAGCCAGTCCCAGGCCAGCCAGAATCACACAAAGACCGTGTCTACAATAATAATGATGACCACGTGATAACTGATGAGCATGAAAACTGAACCAAGGGCCTTGCTCAGACTGGCCAAGGCTCTGCCACTGAGCTACTTCCTCAGTCCCACCATTAACACTTGAGACTTAACCAAAAATAAGGATGCTACAGACAGGATAGATCAGTTGAAAAAGGACTCTGTAGCCATATACTTCATGGCATACTTTGGGACAAGTTATTTTGCCTTCTCAAGCAGGCCTCACAGTTCTAAATATGGAATATTTGAAGTAGCTTTTTCAAGTGTTTAACAAAAAAATCAATGTGAAACACTTTATAAATATGTCACCTATTACTATATGGTAAAAGGCACATACATTTTTGTCCGCCATTCTGGTTAAACCAGCAACTCTTAACAGAACTGTGGTCTTTATGCTGGGGCTAAAGCTTGGCAAATACAGGAAAGAGGAAAACAAAAACAAAACCAGTACTGTATTAATTAGGTCAGATACTATAATATAAAACCTATCAAATTATCTTATATGACATACTCCTATATACAACTGATAAATATATGCAGTGTCTGGTACATAAGAAATGCCCAATAAATAATATTTTTTAGGCTGAATAAACTTCTTGCCATCCAAACCTGAGAAGCTGAGTTCAGATCCCCCTGAACCCATGCATCTATAATCCCATTGTTCCTACAGATATGGGAGTCAAAGACAAGAGTTCCCCAAAAGTTTGTGGGCAATATGCAGCGCTGAACAAAAAGAGATACTATCACATGGTGAACAGTGAGGCCCAACACCCAATTTTGCCCCCTGACCTCCACACATGTGCTGTGGCACATACAAAATAAGATAAAAATAACTTTTTAATAGCATTTATCTTTCCTTTCTTAAAATCTACTATTCAACTTTAAATGGATTTTCTGCATATAATGCTTGTACCTATTTGCACTAATATCCCTCCTTTTAAGGGTTATTATTATTACTACTACTCCTATTATTATTATTATTTTGGTTTTCCAGAGAAGGTTTCTCTGTGTAGCCTTTGCTGTCCTGGACTTGCTTTGTAGACCAGGCTGATCTTGAACTCATAGTGATGCACCTGCCTCTACCTCCCCAGGGAGGTTGTGAGCCCACCATGAAGATAACCCTAATCCTCTAGAAAAGCAATCAATTGCTCTTAACAGACAAGCCATCTCTCCAGCCCTGGATCATGCTTCTTTTAATTCAGAAGTTTTTGCTTATTTAAAAAAACTAAAGCACTCATTTAAAATGTTGACTTTCAAACCATAAATATGTCCATTGTAACATGGTGTATAATATAGGTAAAAGCAGAAACCATCTGAATGCCTAGGAATAAAAGAAAGGCTAAATAAACCATGGCAAAGCTGTTGCCCTTAAAAAATATTTATTAAAACAATTGTCTCATGACTTGGGGACAATGCTGTAAATACATAAGGGATAATGGGATACAAAAATACATATATAGTATGATTCCTAATAATGTAAAAGATGACCTCAAACATGAACCTAGAAGGGCTTTTCCTGAATGAAAAATAATTTTTATTTCTTAGTGGAGAGATTAGGGATTCTTGTCTTTTCATTTTAATGTTTTAAAGAAAAACACAAGTTTCTGCTACCAACGGAAACAGAATTGTTTTTTCTTAATTCAACTACACCAGCAAGCTCAAGCACTTTGGAAAGAAAGAAAAAACAAAACAAAAAAAATCTAAAATTTTAATCTGTTGAACTGCAAGCAGCTGTTTTCCTCTGACTTGTACCCTTTGAACATCATACAAACACTAAGCATAAACCAAAAAGAACCATCAACTTCAATTTTGGAAACTGAAAAAGGTATTTTCAATTTTTGTTGATGTTTTCTTTATGATTAATTCAGAATCACAGTACAAGTAGAGAAACAAGACTTCATTATGTATAGTCCAAAAGCTCAGGAACAACTTTGCAGAAGTAGATTGGAGACAAAAGTCGTACTAGGGAAGAAAGAACAGCTGTTGCTAATCTAACTATTTACCCTTTGACCCTCTATCTGCCCGATAACTGAACAGTACCAATTGTTTCCCTGTATTATGGGGTGTTTACAATCCCTGAGAGGCATGAAAGGAATTAATAATTTAGCCTAGAAAGCTGACAGCCTTTATTGGGTAGCCTCTTGTCTGCAGGTCAGAAATCAGAGCAAGGGCTGTCTTGAAATCACAGGTCCTTTTACTCTTTCAGTTTTATAGCTTAATTGACCCCCAAACATAAATCACTTATTTCTCCTGTTTTAGGCAACAATGACTTCCATTCTCTAGTTCCCTTGTACCAAGGCAGCCCTTGTTCTTTTGAGTTTTACAACTACATGGTAAACACAGTAGCTGAGGGAAAACTCAGGGAGCAGGGCAAACTGAAAAGGTTATGCTGTTTTGAACTTCTCTTGACCTCTGACTGCCCTTGTACCCAGCTTATGCTAAGGGCACAGTATAGGGCATGTCTTGTAGAAATGAACTTAGCCTGAACCTGGGCCATAACATTGGACTCTAGGAAGCCCTACACTTGCAAGAAGGAGCCAGAATTTGAACTGCAGCTCATATTTGAGCATGGCTGCTCATCTGCTCTAGCACAGAAAAGGTAACTAAAAGAACACCTGGTAGATAAAGTAGGTCTTCCCCTAACATACTCCACCTGCCGACTCAAATATGCTATCCACAACCACTACAGAGCACAACTGGAAATGAGCTGCAAAGGTGTTCCTGTCACAAAATAAAATAAGCACAGGCTTTTCCCACTAAGAATTTGCAGTGAGAAGACATTAGGATCTCTAAATTACAAAGATACAATGAAGAAAAAGCTCTTTTATTCTCGATTTAATCTGTAAAAATACTAACATGGGAGATATTATTCCTTCTAGTCAGAATCCACAAAAATTATAGTATCAAAAATAATAATCAGGGTTCTAGCAAAAATGGCTCAGATGCTTCTTACTTTTACATAGAACCTGAGTTTAATACTCAGAACCCACATGAATCACATATAACTCTAGCTATTCCAAAGGATCCAACACCCTCTTCTGGCCTTCATGGTCACCTACACTCACATACAGATATATACAGATACATACACATAATTGAAAATAAAAATAAGGCTGGAAAGATGGCTCAGCCACCTAAATCTTAAAATAATTATATTCATTATCATCACTATCATCACCATTATCAGTAGGCTTAACCTGGCAGCACACACCTATAATTCAAGCATTAAGAAGGAGAAGGAAGGATTACTTTGAGTTTGAGACCAGACTGGACTATAGTGAATTTAAGACAGTCCAGGTTACAAAGGGAGACCCTAGCTTTAAAAAAAAATCAAATTCTAATACAGCATGCACAACCCACCTCTGTCTTATAGCTTCCTATAATTTGGCAGTTAAGTTTGTGCACACTCACATTCTAACACTAGTACAGACCAAGATCATAAATTTTACTTTTGTCAACCCATTATTATAATAATTATAATCTTACATGTTTCTTCAAAGACAAAGGACAAAATTAAAGTACTAACTTCACAAAAGTGATGTAGGAACTGAGACTGTTACCCACATACACTAAGTACCAAATTTTATGAGATTGATGCACTGCCTGCTATGCTAAGAAAGCACTTAAGTACAATTTTTAATCATTTTTGGTGACTCCAATTCCATAATGATATATAAAATCGTATTTATTCTCATATAATGGAGAATCTACAAACCACCATTTTCTGTAAAGGAGGTCATGTAAACAAGGCTTTTCTCAACAAATGGCATGAACTACTTTCAGGAACTATATGAAAAAGAATATAAAATTGGCTGTCACTTGCTAAGCTCAAGGTTTAAAAACTATCTCTCCAAATATTTCTAATATATTGTTAACATGTGAAGGCAAAACTATACTTAATAATTTGTACAATCTGAGACTAAGAATTCAGCCTGCAGCAAAGAAAAACAGTGTTTTACTTAGCTTTTAATTATTTGATGTGCTTCTATATAGTCCATAAAAGACTGCTTGCAAAATATTAGTGCTTTCCTAGTACTAAAAAATGCTTTCTATGACAGATCCATGATTCAAGTAACTCTACACCATATCATAAATTTTAAATCTGAATTACCATTTGACTTTTTAGCAGTATAGCAAAATAAGGTCAATACACAGTAGACACACTCATGTTTTTTTCTCTAACAACTATAACCATGTCTCAAAATATTTCATGCAAGAGTGTGGGAGCATAGGAAATTCAAATGACTATGATTAAAACTTATACAGTCTTGAAAAACATCATCTACCTAGATCTTAAAACAGTCTCACTCATACCCTAATCTTAATATAGATACAAATGCTTTATAAGTTAAGTTGGTACAAAGGTTATCAATTATAAATTTCTAAACAAAACATAAATAAAGTTGGGCATGGTGGCATACATGGGTAATTACAACACACAGGAGGCACACACAGGAGAATCGGGAATTCAAAGCCATCACCATCTACACATTGAGTTTGAGACTAGCCTGAACTGTAAGACCCCGTCTTAAAGAAAAAGAAAATATTAAGAAATGAGAGTATTGGAGAGAAAGTAAATAGGTAAAGTTTGTTGCACAGCATGCTGAGTTTAGCTCCCTAACACCCATGTAAATGTTAAGCAAGGCAATGTGTGCCCATGACCCCAGTACTGGGGAAATGAGAAACAGATCCTAAAAGCTTTATTTAGGATCAGTGAGAAATCCTGCCTCAAAATAATGATGATGATGATGATGATGATGATGACGACGACGACGACGTGAAGAACAAATAAAAGAGAACACATAAGTGCATGTCCACCCTCACACAAACATACACATACAGAGACACACACAGGAAGAAGGGAGGGGAGGGAGAAAGGAACAGAAAGGATAGGAAGGAGGGAGAAAAATGAAGGGGAGAGATAAAGAGAAGAGATGGAGGGGAAAAAAAGAGAAGAAAGTGAAGAAAAGGAAGGAGAAGAGGAAGGGACAAGTAGAAAAAGAAGAAAGTAAGGAAGAGGGGAAGAAAAAGGGAAAGCAGGGCAGGAAGGGAAGGAGAGAAAAGGAAATAAGCTAGCCTCTGCGATACTTGATCTTGACTGGGATAGTTAATCTTCAGTGCTAACAGGAAGGATTTAGAATCACCTAGGTGACAAACCTCTAGGTCTATCTATGAGGACATTTCCAGACAGCTTTAACTGAGATAGTAAACAAACCCTTAATATGGGCAGTATAATCTATGGGCTGGGGTCCCAAACTTAATAAAATACACAGAGCACTGAGCACCAGCATTTCTGTCTCATCTCCTTCCTGAATACAGACATAAATATGACTAACTGCATCACACTTCTGATGCAAAAACTACATGTGCTCTGGCTGCCACATCTCCCCTGCCATGGTAAACTGTACCCTAAAACTATAAGTAATCAAAGAGCCAGCCACTGAGTTCACGTCAGGGATAGTCCCTGTTCCCATTACTAGGAAGGGACTAGGAAGGGAACCGAGAAGGGGGCAAGCTGGGATACAACATGAATAAACTGTAATTAATAATAAAAATAAAAAAAATAAACTATGAGTTAAAACAAAGCCATCCCTTACTAAGTTTCTTCTGTTAGGTGTTGTGGTTTTTTTTGTTTTGTTTTGTTTTCACAAGCAATGAGAAAAGTTAAGTAATGTAACTTCTTTTAATAAACAGTGAAAGATGATATTTTTAATGTTTTTGCCAGGTGTAGTGGCACATGCCTTTAATTTCAGCATCCAATAAGCAGAGACAAGTGTATCTCAAAGAGTTCAAGGCTAGTCTGGTTTACATAGTGAGTTCCAGGACAGGCAGGCATACATAGAAGAACTCTGTAGGAGGGAGGGAGAGAGGGAGAGGGAAGGAGGGAGGGAGAGAAGGAAAGAGGGAAGAAGGAAGGAAGGGAGGGAGGGAGGCAGGGAGGGAGGGAGGGAGTTTTTAATATACAGTTGAGTATGTACATAAATCCAACACTGTTTGCTGGTTTCACTGGAAGATTGAGCAAGGGGCTTTGTTTTAAACAAAAATTTTCAGCAAACAACTTTCTAGTAAATATACAGATCAATATTAACAATAACAACCAATATCAACAAATGAAAAAGAAAATGTCTGTAGAAAAAAAAGACTATCAGTCTTACAATTGTTCAGAGAAGATTCAATGTGAGGGCCATTCAAATAAGAATTATCAAAGATACCTTAAGTTTGACATCTTAAGTACAGAATTACACCTTACCAACATCTTACCAAAACACTGGGTAACGTTTAGAACTTACTGGTGCCTGGATCAAGCTCTGCCAATTCATCCTGACAGAAACCTAAAGACAGAACAATAGGGGAAAAATGATTATTATTTTTTAATTTCTCTAAGCTGACTCTAAATATTAAAAATCAAATATTATTTAATGGGGAAGGCTTCAGGCTTCCGGCTAGGATGTGACTCAGTCCTTGCCTAGGATAAGCAAAATACTGGGTTCAACTTTCAGTAACACTCCCACACCCCAAATTAGACTCAAAAATTGGTTTGAATTTAAATCCTAAATCTCACAATTACCTAACAAGTACAGATTCTCCCCCCAACCCCCCGGTTTCCATCTCATCACCTAAATATAGAAAGAGATAAAAGCATATGCCAGAGTTATCCAGGAGTACAGAGTTTAGCACATTCCTTAGCACATAGTAGGAGCTCAATAAACAATTGCATAGTTGTATAAATAAGAATGCCAATGTCTATTGAAATATAAACTAATAGGAAAATTAAATTTCATTTAATGCTTGTTTTTTTTTATTTAATGGTATCAATTATGTCCCAAAAGAAAGCAAAATAAACAAAACAGGAATTTGCAACAAATATCATACAAGATGAATTTACTTAAGATGATCACCAATTAGGGCTGGGGATATGGATAGTTCAGTTGTTAGAGTGCTTGCTTGGCATATATGATGCTCTCCAGTTTGACCTCTGGCACTGTATAAACTAGACACAGTAGTACAGGCCTACAATCCCAGTACTCAATAGGTAGACACAAGAGAGAACCAATGGTTCAAAGTTATCCTTGACAACATAGCAAGTACAGGGTAAGCCTGGAATACTAAGACCCAGTCTTAAAACAAAACCCTCAAAAAGCTTTACCTACACACAAATAAAACCAGTTCTTCCATTATTAAGTATATTTATGCTATCCTTACAAATAAGACAGTGTGCTTAGAAAGAACAAAACCCTAGATTCAATTCCCAGAACCAAGAAAATAAGTATTGAAATAAATATCACAAAGGACATTTCACACCAATAACACCTGTGCTTTGTCTGTCTTCTTGGTGTATAAATAACATCTTGTAGAGAAAAATCAAACATTTCCTAACCTATCAAGCAAGTGTATAAGCAAGCAACCTAAAAGTATACAGCAGTTTATATCCCCTTTCCACAGTTGGCGATAAATGTATAGTGAAATGGAATAAAGATGAATTAGGTTTAAACCCTACATTTGCCGGTCTGTCTCATTAACTACCATAAACCAATTTCTGAAATGTCAATACAAATAGTTACCATGATCAATTGATTACTTATTTGGTAAATCATCTATCTTATGGCATGTGATCCCTAAATGGCTCTAAGTTTAGGCCTCTTCCTTTGTTTTTCCCAAACAGGGGCTCTGTGTAGTCCTGACTGTCCTAGAACTCACTCTATAGACTGGTCTTGAATTCAGGGAGCCACCTGTCTCTGCCTCCTGAGTGCTGGGATTAAAGGGGTATGCCACCATACTTAGCCAGGGCTCTTCTTTAATACAAGAGGAACTTTCAGATGAAAAGTTCTTCTATAAACAAATATTTTAAAAAATTTAACAATCAAAAACTTCAGTTTGCATTGGCTATAGTGATAGATTAGAGTCACTGATCTTTTGTTATTTTGACAACAAAGTTGCATGTTTACCTCAAAATTAGCATAAACTTTTGAGTATATATTTCCAAGTATGAACAAAAAAGGCTTATGGGTAACAGCTAACGCATTCCAATGTATTTTACAAAAGAAAAAAAAAATGTCATTATGGGAATGTTTTGATCTGACAATAAAAAGGCATTACAGTACAAAGAACCTTGAATCCTATTTAAGACTTCAGCTTAGACCATTCTGAAGCCTCAGCAGCCCAGAGGTGAGAGACCATTTACAAGGCCAAGTCTACAGTTGTACTCAATCATATCTTCATGATCAAGCAAGCTTTCCATTTCAATTTTATGATCTCTATCACATCACAAGCAACAGTGTATCCAGCACTCATAATTTCCTAAGTAACTACATTATGGCTCTCTGTCCAATATACGTTTTAGCCTCCCTTCCTGTGCAAATGCTACCTTCTAAGCTACCTTCTAAGGTGGACTACCATCTAAGTCCACCTTTACTTACTTACTTACTTACTTACTTACTTACTTACTTACTTACTTA